TGACTCATAGAGAAGACAGGAATTGCCTGCCTATCCTGCAAGCCAGAATACAGAGGTGTCATGAGCATAACTAGGTCAGAACGAGTTAAACATTTCAGTCAAGCAGTCAATATTCACTCCTGGAAAGGTTGAACCAACTCAAATGTTCGGATCTGCTGGTGGAAAGGCACAAAGCTGCCTGTCTCAAGTACTGTACATACATTGTTTCCAGATGTTCCTCCTCAGGCAGAAGGAAATTTAGAATAAACTGGCTTAGTACAGAACCAGGATGGCTGTCACACGCTCAAACACTGGCATTTCTTCCCTTCCCTCCACCTTCACTCTTGGTGTACCAGTCTCTAGAGACCCAAGCTTATCTGATACAGCATCAAACCCCGAGTGCTAAAATTGCTACTAAGTCCTAAAATATTGTTTCAATTTGAAAATTTTCTGTGAATATTTAAATTTAGAATAATAGTGCCTAACCATGATGAAAAATTCTAATGTTTATAGAATTCTGCTCATTCCTGTTGCTTTTTAGAAATATTTGAATACTTTTCTTTTACTTCCCTAGAATCACATTTTTGTCATAAAATCCACATCAAACTAGATCTGCAAATGTAGGCATACTACTATATTGTTACCTGATGAACTATTAAACACACACACACACACACACACACAAATGTAGGCATACTACATTGTTACCTGATGAACTATTAAACACACCCACACCCACAGAGAGAGAGAGAGAGAGAGAGAGAGGATGGAACATGTGGGTCCCATAACTTAATAAACCATAAGGACAGGGGTCAACAGTGATAATGATGTTGTCAGTAAGCTGGACACATTGAAGGAGGGCACTTGTATTCTCACTGGATTCAAGAAAAATATATAATGCATATTTCTAACAGAAGATTTCTATCTATTTTCCTAATTCTGCTGCTGGTCCTCAATACTAATGGGCTTGGAAAACAACACACAATTCATTCAGTGCAAGGTTTTGATTTTTCTTTCATCCTCATGGGTTAAGATCACCTGCATTCTTTCTTGTGAATCTAGGACTGCTTCCTGCTATACTTGTGATTACTATCACCATCCTCTGAAGAGGCAAAGTGCCATTGTGTTAGACTGGATGAAGAGATTGACAAGATTAAATTAAAAGTCTTAACTGGCTACAGCATTCCAAGCCAGGAATGTCATAGCAGCTGAGGCTTGATCTTCATCTGTCTTATTAGGATGTGTCATCAAACCTGGACTCATTACAGAAGATTACTTTATGAATTTATTTCTGTATACATGGGCCAAGTTTTTTTGTTGTTGAATAAATTAGTAGAACTGGGTGATTTTGATGTCGAAGCTACACCTCATTGATACCGCTAGACCCATTTTACGCATGCACTTTATGGCGTAGTTAACACTTGATGTACTAACTAAAGTTTGTGCCTGCACACACACAAAGACAGAGACAGGTGGCCAGTCATCCCTTTTATATGTTTTCTTATATTGTGTATTAGGGTCATGTTAAGTTCTCAATTGTGGCAACCCTAGTAAGGTTTCTGAAGTATGCAAGACATTCAAGGAATGGTTTACCATCGCCACTGCCCTCATTACACAGCCAATTTGACCCTGGGTCTCCTAGTCTGACACTGCCACTGCCCCCATTACACAGCCAAGTAGAAATTTGACCCTGGGTCTCCTAGTCTGACACTCTATTGACTACATCATACTGGCTCTCTTTTAGACGCACGTACAATGAAAGGATAGTTTAAAATAAATGTATCTACTTAGACCTGCCTCCAAATGGCTCACACCAAACAATGAGCAAGTGAAACAGCCCTAACTAAGGCCTCAGAAAAGTTAGGTTTTGAACTACAACTCTTTGAGCATCTTCACTGGAACAGCCACTGGCCGGTAGCTAAAGTCCAGAAAAGCAATTCTTCCAAAATTTGCCCTTATCCAAGGGGAACCTGTAATTGGAGGAGGTGCAGATCACAGGTGCCTCAGTGGGAACGGCAGGTTAGCTAGTGCAACCCCATAATTGATCATGCATGTTTCTAAAGCATGAAAGGAGTCTGTCTGAACCTCACTTATGCCTCTAGCTTAAATGGGTTCTGATCAGTTTCTCAGTTCTCCCACTGACTTGTACAACACATTTAATACCATTATTTGGTTTTTCAGCATTACAGTCAAAAATTATTACAACAAAGGTATTCATAAATGTTGACAATAAAAATATGCTTATAAACCATTATTTATGAAGCAGAGCTGTACAAGCACAAGTCCAATGTAGGAACTCATATCCCTCCAAATGTTGCACGCCAGCTCCCAACAAACACAACATAATGGAAGTTGCAGCTCAATATTTTGAGATTCCCTACATCTCATATAAAGCATGAGAAGCATGTAAAAGGAAAGGAAGGAAATGGAAGTCATTTATAGATATGTTGACAGAAAAACTGTATAAACTTGCCAGATCCTATTGTAGATTTATGCCTGCTTAAGTGTACTAGCATAAATCATGGTGGAGAATGGCCACTAATTAATACGTTGCTCCTTGCATTTCTTATCATGTGCCAGTTGCATGACTGGAAATGTGAGCAACAAGTCACTAATTACTGGCAGCTTATCACCAAAATCTAAACTGTTACATTTACACTGGCATATATCTATAACAAGGTTCTTGCCAGTAAATTGGTTAACCCATAAAAAAGGAACCAGCTCAGTATATAACTGAAGAGAAACAGAAATTGAGATTATTCCAAGCTAGAAACAATTACAGAACTGTAGTGGGTAAAGAAGAAACCAAATTATACACGACATAAAAACACACATTAGCAGTTAGAAAGTAATTTACAAATAGACACATACAAAAAAAGTATTTGAGGAGGAGACAAGATAAGGTTATAGCAAGTATTTAAAGATTACTTTTAGAGGAAGGAATCATTCAGTGTAAATCTGCAAGCATGGAATATGCTTGATATTTGAGTCACAGCACACTGAAGACTGGACTGTAGCATAAACCCACAGAATGGATAGTTGGTAAAAATACAGCAACCATTTAAATGACACAAATGTAGGACATATTTGCTATATATGACATAATGCTACTTGTATTGAAGTAGCAAGAGGAGAAGTAAAGGATAAAGGATGCTTGGGCTAAAAGATGGTCTGTAATGTACATTCCTTGAATGTCTTGCATACTCGTATTACAGATGGGACCTCAAGGTGAACTTGTGGTCAGTAGTAATCCTAGTTATGGAAACATAATATTTGTACCCATGCAATGACCTGCAGTAACCTTCTGAAAATCTTTAGTTGCATAAAGTGTCTCATGCCACTGATCAGTAACTGGAAAAAGCAAAAACATTCAAGCAACCATTTTTAATTGTCAAATTTATTAGCTACAATGTGTGGAGGAAGTGCGGTATATAAGCATTATGGAACTATCTTATTCAATAGGTTTTCTCCCAAAAATTTAGATACTAGTATTAATACTGTACAACATTTGACAAATGCGTTTTGGTGAACTTCGGATATATTAATGGAGCTATAATTAAAAGCATGGAAGACCTTTCAACTGAAAGGCTTAGATGGATTTCTTGTAAGCAAACAAGTAGAAGGATAAGACAAATAAAGACAATTACAAAAAGAAATATACACAGATAGCACTTACTGCATATATAGACAGGTGACTCTGTTGGTTCCATATGGGGATCCAAACCAGCAACTCACATTTGGCACAACCAGTTCTGAACATTAGTTGAAATACAGCATTTATCGTGGCTGGGTTGTGTAGTCCCATCCAGATTGTCAATTCTAAGTAATCCCCATTTTAGGTAAAGGTAAAGGTTCCCCTTGACATTTAGTCCAGTCGTGTCCGACTCTAGGGTGCAGTGCTCATCCCCGTTTCCAAGCCATAGAGCCAGCGTTTGTCCAAAGACAGTTTCCGTGATCACGTGGCCAGTGTGACTAAGGAATGCCGTTTTACCTTCCCACCATGGTGGTACCAATTTATCTACTTGCATTTGCATGCTTTCGAATTGCTAGGTTGGCAGGAGCTGGGACAAGTGACGGGAGCTCACTCTGTCTTGTGGATTCGATCTTATGACTGCTGGTCTTCTGACCTTGCAGCACAGAGGCTTCTGCAGTTTAACCCACAGTGCTACCACGTCCCCGCTAACCCCATTTTACTAGTTTAGACAGTGGTGCCTCGCCTGACAAGGATAATCCGTTCCAGCAAAATCACTGTAGAGCAAAATCCTCGTCAAGCGAAATAAAAAAGCCCATTGAAATGCATTTAAAACCGGGTGCCTGTAAAGCAAAAAATCCATCCTAAAGCACAGTGGGGAGCCATTTTACATAGTGGGTGGCCATTTTGAAACCCAACGATCAGCTGTTTTGATCATCGTAATACGAAGAATCGGTTCCTGAAGCAGGGAACCGATTGTCGGGAAGTGAAAAAGCCATTTGAAACATTGTTTTTCCATCGCAAAAACCTCACCGTCAAGTGGATTCATAGTTTAACGAGGTAATTGTTAAGCGAGGCACCACTGTAAATCTGTTGTGCTGCCAACTGAGCTAAAATTGTGATCTATGTGGTCCATCACAAATATTTGCAGGGACAGATCTAGCCAGACAGAACTACAAGGGCCACAGCAAAGATTTTGTCTAGAGAGGGGAAAAACTATAAACAGATACCTCAACAGGTTTGTTCTTCACTGAAGCTTCATCTTGTAAGTCAGTCTGATTAAAAGACCAAGCATTAGCCATGCTCATATGCTTGTTAGAAGAAAACCCAGTACACTTCTCTCTTGAATTGCATGGGTATAAGCAGCATGGTTATTGTTATACACAAGATTTTTTTTTCAATAAAGAAATATGTAAATAAATAACCATTCAATGAATAAATATTCAATAAATACTGTGCTGCTATTCATGAATAGGAAGTGGTCTGAAAAAGGTGAATCTTGGACTGAGTGAGGCTTGTGGTGGTGGCAGGGGCCACTGCCAGGGTGGCGGTGCCCCCTGATTAGACCCCTCTTGTGGCATGGTGGCTCCATGTGATGGCCAGGGAAGGTGCTGGGGCATGCTGGGAACCTAACACAGGTCAGGGAAGGTCACATGAGGTGATCTCCTCCATTGGTGGGGAGGGAGGAAACTGCACCAGTTTTCCCTGTATATGTGTGTGAATCAATTGTTTGTAGTTATGTTTTGGAGGTGTAAGAGTTGCACACAGATTGTGAACTAAATAGGGGTCTTGTGCTCCTAATCCAAGCATTGTTGAAGGGAGAAGTGTGTAACAGTGACATAAAAAAGGATGGAAACTTAGTCCTGTCATGGAAAACATTTATGCTCTGTATGACTGGAAACTGCAGAGGTGTAACAGTGACATAAAAAAGGGACGGAAACTTAGTCCTGTCATGGAAAACTTTTATGCTCTGTATGACTGGAAACTGCAGAACCATAGGATGTGGATTCCACACTTTATTTAAGTGCATTTTACAGAGTATCAACACAGTAAAATCATTTTTAGATGTTTTCTTTTTATGGCTCTTCTTTGGGAAACAAAGCAATAACGACTGCAAACAATGGTACTGTTTAATACTGGATGTACAAAATGGTTTTAAAAAACCACACCACAACCCTGCAATATTTTCTTGTTTACTGTAAAGTATCTTAAAATATGACAACAGCATACCTGAGAACCAGATATTTGTATTCAGAGAGCAGTAGCAGCAATTCCATATTAGGTCTACAAATATGATGGGATAAAGCACATAATATACTCATCTTAAAATTGCTTGCAGAAAGTAACTATTACTCATTAACAAATAGCAGTAGTAGTTGCATGTAGTTTTCCTTTGTACTAATCAGAAACATGTACCTAAAGAGCTGCCTGGATATTTTGTCAGGAACAGTTGAAGTCAGGGCTAAACAGCTGTTGCAAATATATAATTGATGCAACCTGAACTCTTTTAATCTATTCACTCTTAGTGGTGCTATATTTTAAAGCTATACGTAACAATGAAGTAAACGGTTAGAGCACCTTTGATGAGTTTAATGTAGAAAAAAACAACAAAACTGGTTTTCGCCAGAAAAAAACCACTTAACATTAAAAAGTGTGTCTTTGATGCATTTTTCATCCAGAACTTTTAAATACAAAATTTTGGCACACAAAAAAAAAAATCAAGTAATTTTATTTCCCAACAATCCAACTCTTGCAAAATGACTGACATCTGAACATCTTGTTGCACAAGAAGAAGGGATTTCTGTTTGTAGGCAAATGCACAGCCACTGCCCCCCCCCCGACAACTCAACTCTTAATGTTTTTGGAGATGGCCTGACCTTCTGGAATCGTAAGAGGGCATGTGAAATATCAAGCAAGGGGAAAATATTCCCTCTCTCCATTTCCCTTCATTCTCTTTAGATGGTTGGTCACCGTTTTATATGAAGGCACAATGACTAGGTTCTAAGAACGGCATAATACACATCCACTGACTTGGGAGTAACTTCCCACCATCATTTCCATGTAGTATGGCACAGGGAACTGCTATTTCAAAAGAACACAAGTCCAAAAGACTCATGGGCAATACATAACTAGTTGCATAGCTCTTTGGATCTTCCCTTGTTGTTCTGCGCTGTCAAAAGTCACAACTGATTTATACCAAACTCTAATAGGGCTTTCAAATTTAGTGAGATATTTAAGGAGTTTACCAGTTCCATCTCCCTAGTGTGTTTCCAGGGCTGAGTGGGGATTCAAACCAAAGCTGTGTATCCTAGTCCATCACTCTATCCACTGCACCACACTGGGTGTCTTGCCCTACTGGTTTTTTAATGGGCAGGATTGAAATCAATAAGAACAAACCACAAAACAATCCTTTTATAAACCAAAATTTCATGCGTCATAGACTGACGAGCCAATCGTACATTTTCACATGGAAAGCTTTTCTGCTACCCACTAGTGAATTACTTTAAATGGCTACTAATTTTCAGGAAACCTAATAATTACAACATTTAAGACTAAGCCCAGTTCTGTATGTTCTGGTTACAAAGAACATAAGTTTATTATTCTCAAGGAGAGGCTTTTAAAAAACCACTGAAATTAGGCTAATTAAGATAAACGTTTTTAAAATCACAAAAAATAAAGACACCATTTTGGAGTGCCCTTAATAAGATACCAGTCCAGCATTTAAAGAAAGATACAGGCCAGGAGCCAAACTGCTGAGCATATGCAGAAAGGTGCACTCAAACACTAGCACTGCCTCAAACCATATGCCTGTATACCCGCGTGTAGCACTCTCCATGGTTAGAGGCCTTTTGTGAGCAACCTCTCTTGACACAGCCAGGAGGCTGCTGCCAGAAAAAAATGAACAAAGTGCCTGGCCACCTTCATGTATCTGCAAAAGTGCTCTATGCACATGGAGAGGCTTCTCAGTCTTCTAGCCACGGTTGAGCTATAGTGGTAGAACAAAGATCATGAATTCGGTTGATGACTGACACTTTCAAATATAATTCTACTCCTTAAGGGGTCTTAAAACAGTTGGTACATTCAACAGAAGAAGAAAAAAACCAAATTAAAGAAAAACATACATAAATGGTTGGGATTCAAAAGTAAATGGGGGAAACAAAAGATCAATGCAAGGTTAAAAGGTAAAGTCTAAAAATATTCATTTTTGCAACACTAGTATTGCAAAATCTAGTTTGATTGTGTGCACTAGTTATTCTTGTTCCATGATTTCAAAGTTGGACTCACGCAACGTATTATCATTTTGGTTTGTTATTCTGAGAAAGAGCAACAAGAACAAGGGTTGTTTTAATCATCTTTTTCTACTATCACTTCACCGTGGAGCACTCTTCTTCTTTGACGAAGCATGTGGAAGTACAGTTGTGGAAACACTATTTAAAGAAAGAAACATAGATACAGTTGTGTTAACTGTATTTTCTGTCAATTTCCAAAAACAACAGGATGACTAGAGTCATCTCATCTGAACAAGTGAGAATTACTTTATTACACATCATTCTTAGACAAATCATTGTCCTCACTGAAAGGCGCCAAGTGAGATAACAATTGAATATAAGAAATATAATGAGAGACCTCTTCAAGTGAACTTTTTGGAAGGTGGAATACAGGGTTGCCTTATAATGAGCTGGATATTATCTATTCTGAATAGCAGCAGCTTTCTAAGGTCTCAGATTAAGGACTTTCCCAAGCCTACTATCTAAAATCCTTTGTAACTAGAGTCTGTCTGCATTCATCTGGCACTTTTTGATACACAAAGCATGCGTTCTGTCACTGTTACAACAACCTACAAAACTGGACTGTATTAAGATCTGCACAGCTAATATACAATTGCAAGCCAGTGTTTTCTGATGGATCTACTGATACTTACATGGTACATAGGAGGCCATGACAATGAGAAGGAAGTAGTAATAGTCAAAAGAGACATTATACTTGTTGGGAAGTCTCACTGAATACATGCCCGATCTCTTCACGTAGGGTAAGGCAGTATAAATTGTTAGAAGTTCACCAACAACTCCTACTGGATATAAGATGATGAAAAAATTGTACCTGGAATGAACAGGAAATAAACAAATAACTTTAAGAATACTTTTCTGAACAGTTAGTTCTCTTTGATCTACATTAAATGCCAGAGTAAATTCCACAGATTACAGCCAGACCACCTTTCAGAAAAACATAGGACTGGTTTGCATGCATATCTGTACATTAAACAAGACTTCTTAAATGTTAGTTGGACCCCCAAAAAGAGCTCTCAAGATGTGTAGTTCAGTGAACATGTCAGCAGAACTGAACACAACTCCGATTTGCTTAGTCAACTACATGCATCCACATGCTTCCTCCATGGCCTCATTGCTGCAATCACCAAGAGGTATCAGAATTCCAGTCTGGGGTGAAATTTTTATCCCTTCTGGTCCTAATACAGGCAGCAAGCCGGAAAGTGTTCTGGGTCTTCCCAGACATCCCCACTTTTACCCAACAACCAGGAAGATTTTTAGGGATTCATTGCAAAGATCTGCAGTGTCTCTTTAAGTGCATTTAGCTGAATATGCTTACAGCATCTCTGTAACTTGGAACTCTGAAAAGGCAAGGCTTCAGATCAAAGAAAACAAAAGCAGTCTGCAGACTTTCACAGTAAACACACAGTAACTACTCCTGGGAGTAGTTAGGAGGAGAAGGAGGGACCTACACAATTGTACACACAGGCCTTAGCACAATTACAGCTTTACATACAGGAAAAGGGCTTATGCCACGTGGGATGAGCTATCTGGCACACACATTCGTTTAAAACTACTAGGTAAATATCCTAGCTTTATCTTCATTTTATGTGTAGAATGTGATGCTCCTTTAACTCCAGGAATTTCATTCAAGACTAGATTTCGAAGTTTTTATACTGATAAAGTATTAAATATTTTAAAATCTAAGGAGGACACAGCAGTCATCCATTTCTATCAATGTTTGTAACAAAAGATTGCTGGTGTTATATAAATAAAAGCACAGCATTAAACCAACATGAAACACTGTAATTATTTTGCTTGCATTAAAGCTTTCTAGATATGTCTGAGTCCTATTCAAAGGAATAATTAAGCAGCTAGAATCTTTATGGGGGGGGAAGCAAGTACAGACATTTGAAAGAGCCCATGACCTATTCAGTGAGAGAGACTGGTCTTTAAAGAAGCCAGTGGCTTTGAAGAACACTGCCATATTTATTTTTATCACGTTACACATTGGAAACCTTTTAAAAAGGTTACCGGCAATACCTTGAGGAAGTTTCCCGCAAGGTAAAGCATACGAATACAGTGATTCATAAAAGAACCTGACCTCAAGCTGGAAGAGTTCCCTCCCAGGGTCAGAAAAGACATGCATAATGCGCATTCCATGACCAAAACAGATGAGATATAAAATGGCAGCTATGGAACATGAAACTCTCCTAAGAACTGATGACTTAAGAGAGCATATGGGTCAAGCAGACTGTGCTGTGTAAAATTCAAGAAGAGTCAAAGGAGATTATTGGCATGAAAGAATGAGTCATTAATTAGTAAGGTTTAGGAACGACAAAAACCAATCAATCATAGGGGAGCACTGTAGAGTTAAGCTAAACTACATAATAATATTAGAACTGCAGAGCTGGAAGAGACCCTATGAATCATTTAGTCCAGCTCTTGTCAAGGAGACACAGTGGGGAATCCATCTCCTAACCTCTGGCTCCACAGCCAGATAACTAAACCACTGAGCTATCCACATTTAGCTCATTCTATAAAGCAAATAAAAGCCAATTTTTAAAAGCAGAAAACATGGAGGACTGACAAACCCAAATGTAACACTGTAACATTTACCACCCAAGAAAATATGAATACACTGAAGGGAAAAGTGGTAATTTACTTTGGTTGACATTTGAATCCTTAAATCTCATTTAAAAGAAATGCACAAAGGAGGATATTTTCAGGATATAATTGTAAACAACAATAGATGTAAATATTTCACAAATACAATACAATAAAATAGACGGAGTGGAAAAAAAGCAGAGCAAAGGCCAAACTATAATCATGACTGAAACCTCATGTACCACAGTGGGACATTTTAGTCACCCACTTACTGTTGATGCAAAATTCAGAAAAAAACTAAACCAACTGGGTAGACATTCTATCCCATTTCACATATAGAATTCTAAACAATCTCTCCAACGTTTCATTGATTTTAATCTGGGATAGTTGGGATGGTAGCCAGAGTGGATTTGATGCTGATGCTTTCGGTCTTTCACTATTAGCTGCTACCTTTGCATGTCACTGGATGCAATACCTGCCAGATAATTGATTTTATCAATATCAATAGGGGTTGGCTTCAGGCATCTAGTAATGACTGCAGCTTTCACTGAATGCTAGGTCTAGCTGTTTTGCATAGACTGAACCATACCACATCCAGCTGCCATATTTATTTACAGAACAGCATAGGACCAAATTCTTAGTATTTGTGGTTTTCTGCCCCAACAGGTTACTGATAGCTTTTGAAGAATATTGTTCCTTGGCCAAGTTCTTAGTGTCTGTGGTTTTCTGCCCCAGCGGGTTCCTGATAGCTTTTGAAGAGTATTGTTCCTTGTGCGCGGACATTTTGTTTTGTGTTTTCACAGTAATTCTTACAGATCAGTGAACAATACAAAGTAACACCTACATATTTTGGAATAAAATAATGATTGAGTTGGATGGTTTTAAACTCTGGTGCATAAGGATTAAAATTTCATAGAAATGTCAGAATCTCCATCATCAATAGGACTGCAGTAAGGAGGGCATTCCAGAAATGGGGGGCATTCCCTTAGGGAAGGTCCTCTGCCCAGTTATACAACAATCTCCCATGTCAAAAGAAACTGGAGAAGATCTTAAGACACAGACAAATTAGTCTAGGCAGATGTACTCCTTCAAGTTTTGGTGTCTCAAGACATTTAGCACTTTGAAGATAAGCACTCTGGAAGCAGGCAGACAGCAGATGTGATTGTTTTAAAAAATATAATACAAGGCTGGGAAATGAACAGCCTTTCAGATGTTTATGGCAATTAAAAAGTCACATCATCCCTACCTAGCAGGGCAGAAGCAGCAGTCCAGAAACATCTGGAGGGCCACACATTCCTGGTTCCCTGTATTAACATGATCCCATTAGGCTGTATCTCTTAAAATTCTGGCAGCTGTATAATTCTGCATAACATAATATTTGGAATTTTTAGTTTGGCTTCCACATCAGCTCAATATGAAATGCATTTCAGGAATCATGTCAGGAGGTCACCACGATACTGATCAGCTATCATACGGCTGAAACATTCTGGCTATAGATTGTGAATGAAAAGCTTTAGCATTAGACAAAAAATACTGTATAGCTTAACAGAAGTGTTAAAATTCAGAGGCCTTTCCAAATAATTTTGATATAACTGGATCTCTGAAATGTCAAGCAGGTCTGGTAGGCAAAACCTAGATACTACATGTTCATCATCACAAAAGAGATTATAGTGACTGCTTAATCCAAGTCAAACAAGGCTTACTAAAAAGCTAGAAAGATTTCTATCCAACAGAGATGCTGCCTTGAGTTAAGATGCAATTGCATCTCAAGTATTTCTATTATTTGGGTTGCTATTATATCAAAATCTGGGAGGACAATGGCAAAATAAAAAGCCTCAATGGCATAATAGGAAGCACAGACAAAAACATAATAGGAAGCCTGCAGCAGATTCCATGTTTTGTGAAGTATTATATTTCAGCCTGGGAAAATATTTGCTTCTCTATAGCAGTGGTTCCCAATGGTGGACTTCCATATGTTCTCGGTCTTCAACTCCCAGAAATCCAGGAAAATATTTACTTCTCTATAGCAGTGGTTCCCAACTGTGGACTTCCATATGTTCTCGGTCTTCAAGTCCCAGAAATCCTGGCTAGCAGAGGTGGTGGTGAAGGCTTCTGGGAGTTGTAGTCCAAGAACATCTGGAGGTCCGGGGTTGGGGACCACTGCTCTATAGAACGCTCTAAAATAGCACATTATAAAGTAAAGAACCCAAACCAACATGTGTGCAAATGAAGACGTACTGTATGAAATATGAAATTTTTAAAAGATATACATGTGCACTACAGAAATGTTAATGTCATAGCACAAGGCAGGTTAGTTAAATTAGTGCTGTGTGTTTAAAACGTATTCAATGTTATGGCCTTTTAAAAATTAATCATAGTATCATCATCAGCATCACACATATAACCATTTACTTCTTCCTTGCTGCTTTAGCATGCATGAAATAAGCATGCACAAAACAATGAGAAACTAAACTGCAAGGCATTCTCCACCTGGCCCATTTTATGAAGTATGGCAAATGGTTGAGCATATTGAATGTGTAGAAGGAATATCGAGTAATCTCTGTCACAGTCCATACGACCAGAAAGAGAATAACGCTCTCCTCATTCTGAATCTGCAGAAATATATATGAAAAAGAAACCCAACATTTTCTCCATCCTTAACATTGAAAAAAAAGCTGGTAAAAACAATGCATTGGAAAATGCAGAAAAATTGTTTTTTGGCATTCTTTCTCTTTTTAGGAAGAATGCAAGTGCGCATTCTTTTAAACTAACCAATCCCCATCAAATTGAAAGAATAGAAAAAGAAAAGAAGTGGCCAATTCATGTGCACAATTTCATATTCACTGAAGTTTACAGCCCTCTTCTGTTCAGCAAAGTTTTCAGTTTGCTTTGCTAATACTTCTTACTTTGTTTAATTGCTCTGTCAGCAATTGTCTTTTATAACACAATCCTGTACAACTCTCTTTAGACCCATTAAGTTCAGCAGTCTTACTCCCAGGTAAATAGGCACTGGCCAGCAATGTTGGGAGCTGATGATTATAATACTGGCCCTATTTAATGACAGGCCGAAGAGGTCTATTTTTTAAACTGGGCTTGCATACCCTCTCCATCCTCTCCTCTGTCCATGAGTTCAAAAATGAGGTATTTTCATCATGGTATTCTCTCCATTTCACAAATCGATGCTGCTGAAGTGCAGCCTCCAACTGATGACATAATTGGCTAGGGTGGCTAAGGCTGATGGAAACAACAGCACTGATAACAATGGTGGACCTTCACTGGCCTTGAGGCCCTGGCGAATGCCTAATCCAGCTATCTTTTGGTGTTAGTCTTGCCCTCTTTAATAAGTTGTTACAGGTTTCTCCCTCTATTGGAGTGTTTCCCAAACTTTGGCCCACAGTTGTTTTTAGACTGAAAGTCCTAGAAGCCTTCAAGACGTAGCTGTGCTGACAAGGATTTCTGGGAGTTAAAAGTCCTAGAAGCCTTCAAGACCTAGCTGTGCTGACAAGAATTTCTGGGAGTTGTAGTCCAAGACCATCTGGGAGCCCAAGATTGGGAACCACTTGGCAGGAAGATTAGATATCATAATGGTTTCTACAGTGTAGTGCAAAACAAGGCACGGTAGATGGATATTGGCATAAGTTGCATGGACATTGAATGAATTATTGAACTGCCTACATACAGAGTTCTACCTACTATTTCAGGACATCAAAGTCAGGAGAGTAACAGAGAAAAGAGCAAATCAATGTCTAACCAGTAACAAGGTAGGTAGGAATCCTCAAATTTCTGAAAAAAGGAATTACATACATGCAGGTCTATTTTTATTTTAAAAGGGAGAGTTTCATATTAGATTTCTGTGCTTAAAGACTATTAGAAACTCCGTATCATTTTATTCCTCTAGTCCGATTTTCCATTTTTACTTTACTTTTTCCAGTCAATAGCCAAATTTCTGCAGGAAAGTATGGTGTTCAGTGGGCTGCTCTTTGCCCTCCCCCTATTTAAAACAGATGTCAGCAAGATCTCAGCAAATCTGACAGTTCCTGCAAGGAAGCTGATAATCTGCCTTTTTGTCCCAACCCTGCTTGTCCCCATCCCCCAACGGCGTGTCTCTCTATCCATGTGCATGTTAAAGAAATCAAGTCCATGAAACTGCGTCAATAGAGTAGGATTTGACAAGAGACTGATAAACTCTTCTTTTCCCTATGAACTGACTTTCAAGTCAAAAGTGGCCTGCCCAATTTTCTTCTTCACTGGTCCTGCTGAGATAAAGTAGTTTCTGTTCTCTGAGCTCCATGTGTTCTGATCAATGCTAGAGGCAGAGCACGATAATTGCTGGCTTTCTTGTTTTCAAAGGAATAGAAGCAGTTCTTGGGCACAGCCCTAAATTTGTTTGGCATCTTGTACAGTCTAAGCTGGCTGGATAGCTCAGTGAGTTGGGTATCCAGCCACACAGTCAGAGACTGGGAGTTCAATACCCTACTGTGCTTACTGTGAGTAAAGCCAGCATGTAAGGCCTTGGGCAAGCTGCACAGTGCCAATACACCCACCCCACCCTGAAGAAGGGAATGGGAAACTTCTAAATACTCCCTCTGTCTAGAAAACTCTGAAAAGCATCACCATAAGTTCTGACATGACAGCACACGATTATTACTCTTATTGTACAGTCTAACCTAATTAAGTTGGCACAACATCTCCCTGCCCCAATCCAACTGTAGAGTGATCATTAAAACATTCCATCATATCCAATGGTCCCTTCCCTCTTCCTTTATTTTGGGTTTCGTGCTTAAAATCTAGTCAAGAATTTTGATGAACTCAAACCCTAGTTTGCATTGTAATGTTTGAAATATATGGCTTATCCCTTATATATACTGAAACCGTTATCATGGATAATGAAAAGCTGCTTTTGAATGTAAGCTACATTTCCACATAGAAAAACTGTTCTTTTGAGCAGATGGCACAGCATTCAGGTGTCCTAAAAATGAGAGAATTGCATAGAAAAGAAACCCCACCAAACTTTCATGTTCTGTTATAATGTACTGTACGTGCACACCTTAAGGAAGAAATGAGGCAGTTCCCGACATAAGAAGATGGAAAAGTGCCACCTGCTGGTGAGACAGTTTCATGGGCTCAGACCTAAGCACACAAACATGCACACCTTCATATGCAAGGCCTTAAGTGCCTTAAAAAGGGCATCTAAACCTTAAAAATGCTATTAATCTCAGGCTAAAACCACTATTGCACTATATTATGAGATAGCAGCTAAAATCCTGCTGCATAGTTAGGCCAATGGAAGGGAAATGGCATAACTTGCAGGCAATGAAGACTCCAAGTAGAAACCCATTAATTAGCAGCAATTTGCCGCTGCAAATTATGCTGTTTTCCTTCCATTAGTGTAACTATGCATCAGAATTTCAGCGATTATTTTTGCATGTTGGAAAAGCAAAGATTGGGTACCATCCAGCCCAGGCTACAAGCAATCCTGAATGTGCTAATGTCTATGAAAGAAAGGTATGGATATCTATTAAAATCAATTTCAGAATAACAGAGTTGATTAAGACTTAGCCATACTTAGTGGAGATGCATTAAAATCAATGGGAATTAAGTTAGTCATGACTACTTTGTGTTGATGTCAACAACCCTGCTTCAGTGTGGCAAAGGTGAATTTAATCCGGGGTAGATAAAATGCAACCTATGACATGTGGTCGGACAGCAACTCCCCATCGTCTGGATGCAGCACAGCCAATGATGAGGAATGCTGGGAAATGCAGTGAAGGATCACAATTTTTACAGTATACAGAATAAATTGGCAGTATACCAATTTCTGCTTCTGAAGAAATTGCATGAACAATATAATAGTCACGGGGTGATTAATCTTTCTAATCCTATGGACTTTTACTTGGGAAACAGGACCACTCAACTCAATGGAAGTTAATTCAAAGTAAACTTGGAACAAGGATTGTTTCTGTCATATTTCATTTCCCATCATGTCAGAAACACACACCATTCCCAGCAACAACAGATTCAAAAGTGGAACAAATGCACAACCTTTCATAACAGACTGAAAGATTGTGTATTTGTTCTATTTATTACACACACCTAAAAAGAAATTGATGGAATCGATGCAAACTAGTGGAACACCTGTGCGAAGGGTAATTCACATGCATTCCACATAAGGCTTATTTTCACTTAGCCCATTCAATATGTGCTAATTTTAAGTTGTCTCTCAAAGAGGAACAGACGACAGCTTGGTGAACTGGCTGAGGAAGAGATGTGTCAGCCTTTGATCTTGTTTCATAGAGAGAGCAAATTGGGCAGGAAGCCATGAGAGCTCAGATATCCATTTCCAATGGCCTTTAAGCCCTTGTCTCCCATATGTAAGGCAAAGGCAAGTGAGGAACTTTTCATTTCTGCCTGCAGAACTGTGTACAGTTATACTCAGTCCTCTAAGAGTCCATTCAGATCTTTGAGGAGACAATGATATTAATTCATCTCTACTTTTACTGTGATACAAGCCAAGAATAAGGTATGTGTGGACCACTAGCTGGGGTCAACTCCCATGACCCTTATCAAGTAGTGGTACCTGGCAAGACAAAAGTAATTCGTTCTGCAAGTAGCACTGTCTTGCAAAATTTTCGTCTTGCGAAAAGCGGTTTCCCATAGGAGTGCATCGCAATGCATTCCTATGGGAATCTCGCAATACGACAATTATTTTCATCTTGCGAGGCATCGGTCTCCATTCCTATGGAAATCTCGCAAGACGACAGTTATTTTCATCTTGCGAGGCATCGGTCTTGGGGGGGGGAAATCGTCTTGTGAAGCATGGCCATAGAATAATCCATCTTGCAAGGCACCACAGTGATCGCAAAAAACATTCGTCTTGCGGGTTTTTCATCCCGCGAGGTGTTCATCTTGCGAGGCACCACTGTACAGGCAATGTTAACAGTTATGGGGAGCGGCAATCCAACAATGTTTGGACAACTGCATGTTTGCCATCCCTGCTGCATACAAGGTCTTCTCATAAAAACTGAAGGAACGTATGTTTTCCTCACAGCACTTACCTGCTTTATACTATGTGTAATAAACCACACCATGAAGATTCTGGAACTCACTTGGACCCCAGTCACAAGCACAGAAGTGTGCACTACTCCTTAAAAAGAGAAACATATCATCTTTGTCCCAAAGAGCAGGATTGTGCTTAGTTAATTGAGAAACTGAAGCAAAGACTCACCAATTGCACAGTGGACTATCTGTAAATTTAAAGAGAGGGGGGAGGGAGGAAGGGAGAGAGACAGAATGGTTAGAATCATCTGAGTATTTAAAACAAATCTTTGACAGGATAAAGGGAAGCACTGGTAAGTCTAATTCAAGGCATTTGGTTGCCTAAAGCAAAATAATAAATGCGAGCACCATCTCCCACCCCCAGGTTGTTCAAGGATTATGGATTTATTTTAGTATCCAAGGTACAGAATTAATGTCTTCTGATAGGGCCAACCCTGGACAATTGCTCCTATTATATTTTCAGCATCAGTTCCTTTCCACAGCTCTCTTCCACAAAGAGCAAAAATGAAAACTCTCAAATGCTCAGCAATCATGCATAAGTATTCACAGAGGATGGAACAGTTCCTGTTATTCTGATGCCAGAATCTTAAAGAACAGAATATATGGTGAAAAGCTACACAAGGAGCATAGCATGGTAAGGTTTGCAGTAGTGGGAACTTCACTAATTGGCTCAAAATAGCACAAGGTATGAAGGCGGTGGCAGCAAAGCTGCTGGTTATCCTTATGCTCTCTCAGCTGAAGACCATCAGACTCTGTATGTATGGTGAAAAGCTACATAAGGAGCACAGCAATCACACAAAAATAAGCATCAGAAAGCATGTTCACTTGCCAAATGGAAGGCATGGCCTTTGTGGTAAGGTTTGCAGTAATGGGAACTTCACTAATTGGCTTAAAATTGCACAAGGTATGAAGGTGGTGGCAGCAAAGCTGCTGGTTATTGTTATGGTCTCTCAGCTGAGTATGGTGAAAAGCTACATAAGGAGCACAGCAATCACACAAAAATAAGCATCAGAAAGCATGTTCACTTGCCAAATGGAAGGCATGGCCTTTGTGGTAAGGTTTGCAGTAATGGGAACTTCACTAATTGGCTTAAAATTGCACAAGGTATGAAGGTGGTGGCAGCAAAGCTGCTGGTTATTGTTATGGTCTCTCAGCTGAAGACCATCAGACTCTGTACACAGTCAGAATTAGTTAAGTTGCCTCCCTTTTATTTGATATGCAAGCAGAATATTTGCACAGCTTTCACTAGCTGCACTATTGGGGTAAAAAACATACTGTTATTTATCCTGATACTTCTGTAAACAGTAAAATGGTTGTTGTTAAATATGTCATGCATTCCTAACCTAGTGATGGTGCCCAAACCCAGAAGACAAATCAGCTTATAACACTGCTATACAGAGAGCATTATAACAATGCACTGGGGATATTGGCCACACTGAAGCTGGCATCCAAACCAAAATTCAAGCCAACAGCTTTAACAACAACAATGGTGATGACGATAATAATAATAATGATAATAATAGGAGAACTGCAGAACTAGAAGGGACCCTATGAATCATTGAGTCCAGCCCTTGCCAAGCAGGCATGATGGGGAATCAAACTCCCAACCTCTGGCTCCACGGCCAGAGACCTAACCACTGAGATTATAATGGAAATAATTTGTATCTTACAGCAGGAACAGGGAACTGCTGGCCTTCAAGAAGTGGGACTCCAGGTTCCATCTGCCCCAGTTCACACAATAAAAGGTCACAGAAAGTGGCAACTGGAGTTCAACATGCAGAGGACTGCAGGTTTTCTTCCTCTACACCCTGTGCCTTATAATATATATGTTTTTTTTTTAAAAAAAAATCTAGAAAACATATTTATCTTCAGGCCTGAATTCTCTTGCACAGCTTGGCAATTCCAAAAAACAAAATATACAAATAGCACATTTGGAACAAGTATTTTACATAAGAAAATTATATGATTTCAAAATTATATGTCACTCTGAGGGACGTGGTGGCGCTGTGGGCTAAACCGCAGAAGCCTGTGCTGCAGGGTCAGAAGACCAGCAGTCGTAAGATCGAATCCACACGCCGGAGTGAGCCCCCGTCGCATGTCCCAGCTCCCGCCAATCTAGCGGTTCGAAAGCATGCAAATGCGAGGAGATAAATAGGGACCACCTCAGTGGGAAGGTAGCAGCGTTCCGTGTTTAAGTCGCACTGGCCATGTGACCACGGAAGATTTGTCTTCGGACAAAACGCTGGCTCTATGGCTTGGAAACGGGGATGAGCACCGCCCCCTAGAGTCGAACACGACTGGACAAAAATTGCCAAGGGGAACCTTTACCTTTACCTGAGTCATTATATGACATAAGAACATTTCTATGTAATATCCCAACAATCTCTAACATCCCAGCTCCATGGAGATAAGAGAGCTCAAGCAAATCTGAAATCTAAATAACGTAAAACTTATGATAGTGACTGCCAACTACTGCATCAGACATGTGTAAGTGTGCCATATGCTTTCCCTTCCAGCTAGGGGGTGTTATCATGAGTTTTAAAAAAACCCCAAAGTAGACAGAAAAGCACCTATATTTTATGACCAATGTCAGAGAAGGATAGGATCACACCAATGCAAGTAAATAAAAAGTGAGCACAATGTACACGGGAATGAGAACACTATTTAAGGCATGAGGAAGACATTGATAGTTCACTGATTAATTGGGAGTGAACTCTGAGAAATAAAGGAATTGGAAAGTTTATGATGGACAGAGAGATCAAATGCAAAGAACAGAGGGATGGCATTTTGCAAATACCCAAGCCCATCCACACCAATGTCCCGTATCTTGCATCACTTGCATCTCTTTTAAATAAATACTTAGCCAATTTATTTTGCTAGTATTATGAACAGATCCTGACCAGTTGTTCACCAGTTGGCAGGAACCCATTCATATGAATGCTATAAAACGATACACAGCTATTGCCGAGTTTACAACATTAAGGCACATACGTGTACAAACAATTAAACAGGAGAAGGCACCCTATAAGGCACTTTTCTAAGAATATCCTGAAATCTAGAGTGGATCATGCATTCACAAGGACCTTCTGAATACAACAGGGGAAAAAGCACTCCAAGGAAAACTAGTTTTGACTGCTAACTTGTATGAAATGCCTTTGGATGAAATGCCACTGAGAGAAAAAAATGGGAATTTATAAATGTCTTGATAATTGACTAAATCAGAATTTGGAAAAATTTGGACTACAACTCCCAGAATCCTCCAGCCAGCATATCCATTGGCCACAGTAGCTGAAGAATTATGGAAACTGTTGGCTAATAAAGCAAATATTCCAAGCCCTGGACCGTATGCCTTCATCCTTGATTAAAACTGTTTCCCCAAACCACATCTTCCCAAACACATTATGTAAGAACTTACCTCAAGCAAAGCAAATGTTTGGAAAAATTTAAGTGTCTTTTGGATGCTTTTGTATAAGCCTTTGTATGTTCCTTTTTCCATGTAAAACCGTGCCATAGCAATAGCCAGTACGAGCCATCTAGGCAGAGAGCAAAATAGCTTTAGTGAAAGTAAAACCATGCATTCAAATTAACTACTGTATTTTAATTTACAGTTCATGTCAATTGCACATCAACTATTTTTCTTACATGCTATCAGGTAACTTCTGGCTTATGGCAACACTAATAGGATTTTTCAGACAGATGCAAAAGGGTTCATCATTGCCAACAGCCACCACTACTACATGTCCATGGCCTGATGGGAAACTGAACATCACAATGACTCCCAAAACACTATAGCATCTTTAAAAACGATGAAGAGTTTATAAATGTGGGCTGCAATCCACTAAAGCTTATGCCACATGAAATTTGTTGGTGTATAAGATGCCACAGCTCAGTGATTTACGTTATCTGGCTGGTAGTTCAGTTCCCCACTGGGCATCCTAGAAGAACCCACCTTTTTTTGCCTTGGGCAAGCTGTACAGTTATACAATGCCCTCAGAAGAAAGGAATAGTAAATCACCTCTGAGTATTCTCTACCTGGAAAACCCTGAAAAGAGTTGCCATAAGGCAAAATTGATTTGATTGCACATAATTATTTATTATTAAAGTGCCACAGGATTGTTGTTTCTTCTACAACAAACGAATAAAGCAATCCCCTCACCAAAAATGGTCAACCCTGCCTCCCTCGCCTCCTGATATTTGGTATGCCCAGCAGAACTTGTACTATTTCATAGAATTTCTACAATCCTATGGATAGTTAGGCTCATTCCTAAAGTTAGTTGGTGGTGGGACTAGAAACAGAATGTATTCAAATGGGACACAGAGAGGGCGGAGAGCTTAAGATATCAACTTTGCTCAGCAAAGCCATTTCCTACATAAATCATAGCAACTTGTCAGGCAAATCCTCTCATCTCACCTGCTGTTCACTTGAAACTGAGCCCTTCCCAGCCAGAACTGGAAAAGGCTCTGTTTCAAGCACGAACTAGGGAGTCCTCCCCACCAGCAGATGGAAGGCAGGTTCTATCATGCAACATGGTAAGAGATAAATGGGATGTGCAAAAACCTCCCCACCAGCAGATGTAATGTTCCCATGGAAGGCAGGTTCTATCACGCAGCATGGTAAGAGATAAATGGGATGTGCAAAATGCAGCTTTAGGACTGCATACAACCCTCTAGGTAACACCAGACTTGGGATATGATGAGTACTTGTAACATTTGCCATTCTATGCAAGGACTGTATTGTAATAATTTAGGGCAGCGTGGCTTCCTTTTGAAAAAAATGACCACAAAACACACGGGAAAAATCACATTTCCTACAGAAATGCTGCTATGAGGAGAAAAACCGGGTTTCTTTCCTCTGTTTCTCTCCAACAACAAGAGGCTGCAAGATGCACATTGTGATCCCAGATCCTCATTCCACATCTCAAATATTTTAACCCACCAGGAAACCATGACATTTCCCCCAATTATCTGCCATTTTAGGGGCCAAATTGGGAATCAGGGGCTTGGAGCCCTCCAAAGTCCATTGGAGGGCAAAAATAATTCCTAGACCGTCAGAAATTGTCTACCTGAGAATATGTGAAGGAATGATTTGATGCCACAAGACCTTTTAAAATGTCTGATTTACTGTAATTGCAGACAGGGGAACATTTTGGTTCCATTTCTGACAACACTGTTCTGTTCTTGGTGAGGTAAATCCTCCCCTTCCCACCTCTCACCTTCCTCCAGCTGAAGTTAGAGGTGGATCTCTAAATAATTATTTTTCACTCAAGGAATGTATCAAATTAGCTTTTCCTTGGATATACTACAGAAAAACACCTGAGACACAATGACTTGTGTATGCAGCTTGGAATTGCATATAGTATGCAACAGCAGTTTCTGATTTTGACAATCATACATATGAAGTCCACTTGGGAGCTGTTTCTCCCCACCCCACCTCATGCTCCAATAACTCCTTGCAGCCGAACACAATCAAATTCAGAACTATATGTCTGAAACCTTTCTTCATGAATTGAAGAAAGGTTTCAAACATATAGCGTGCCACCAGATATGAATGGGCAAACCTCACATCAATCTATTCAGCTCTGCTGTTGTGCCTTATTTTATCTACCAGAAGTCTCAAAAATTCTTTTCTTTAGAGATGAAGCCTTATTTGAAAAAGGAAAATAATACTCCTATGTTCAGTCCTTCATTCTGGGCTTACAGATGTCACAAATGTAATGCTCCTAAGCATCTTGAGTTTAGGAAGACACACAGAGAGAAATCTATGTGTGCACATAGACACATAATATACAAGTTGCTTAAAACTGATTTTAAGACCATTGGGGTGACTTATTAACATATTTCAGGAGTGGGCAGAAGATAGATTTGAATTGACTGTTATATTGTAAGGAAGGAAGGAAGGGTTAAGTGTGGAGAAATGACTAAACACATTTTTGTACACAACAACTGTGATGTATGTTCAAGTTCTAATATTCAGACCAAAACCTTTGACTTAGCATTCTTTAATTTTCAGCATATGAATCATGCATCTGGCTTCAGCTCAAAGGGATCTCAAGGTTCTAATAAACAAATTAGACATGAAGATGAGATATGCGCATCCATCAACCTGTGCACCATTAGAAGCCAGATGAGCAAAATTTGTATATATTTTGTCCCTTCACATCATAGATTTGACCTACAGTTCCCACAATCCTATACCATGTCAGGCCAACAAGAGTCATGGGCTAAACCAGCTGGAGGGCAAAAGGTCTGCCCTGCTTTATACCTTAAAAGAAAATAGTTGAATTTACAAACATATTCTTGTTTTAATGTTTTGAAGTCCCAGTCATCTAGTTTCCTGATAAAACCTACTTTTAAAGAATTGTACTATGTATACTATGTATGGGAGCCCTTTGTTCCTAGCAGTACTTAAAATGCTATCCTGAACTAGATAATTGGACATAATGATAATGAGTGTATTGGAGGACTCCGAGGAAACTAAAAAGAAATTATTGCTTGCTTGCTTGCTTGCTTGCTCATAATTGGACATAATGATAACGAGTGTATTGGAGGACTCAGAGGAAACTAAAAAGAAATTATTGCTTATTTATTTTCATTTTATTTTATTTTATTTATATCCCGCCTATCTGGTCAGTTAAGACCACTCTAGGTGGCTTACAGCATAAAAATACACACTAATCCAATTACTAATATCAATTACAGGGTTTAGAATAAGAAAGCACTGAATGTTTCTGTAGAGTTTTAAGTACAACCATAAAATTAACTGGTGGTGGAAACTGAACTCTAGATTTTACCAAGAAAGTATGCCATATGTGATATTTCTTTTGGATTTATGTGTATGTAAAGATACTTATACCGATCTATCATTGTGTGCCATCAAGTCAATTCTGACTTATGGCAAGCCATGTAAGGGTTTCCAGATAGAAAATACCCAGAAGTGGTTTACTATTCCCTTCTTCTGGGGGCATCCAGGGATTGTGCAGCTTGCCCAAAGGCTGGCTCTTCAGGGATCCACAGTGGGGAACTGAACTTCCAACCTCTGCAGCCAGATACTGAGCTATCCATCCAGTTCATAAATCATGTGCTATCAAGCCAACTAGGACTTATGGTGACCCTTTTCAGCATTTTTCCAGGTACAGAATACTCAGAATGGTTTACCATTTCCTTCATCTGGGGTGACCTGGGGCTGTGCAGCTTGCACAAGATCACATGGACTGAATCTTCTCTTAGGAGGCACAGTGGGGAATCAAACTCCCAACCTGATTGTGCAGCCGCATACCTAAACCACTAGGCCATCCAGCCACAGTGCCTGGCAAACAGACAGCACTAATCACTGCATAAAAAGCACAGCCATGAAAATCTGTCTTTTCATTTTAGGTTTCAAATAAGGATGATTCCACAAGTATGCTCCCTTACAAAATATCTAAAAACTATTGTCTCATCAGCTCAAAAGTTGAAGGAGAGGAATCCACACACCAAAATATTGCTTGTCATAACTTTTTGATCTCAGATGGGAACTAAAGATTCTGATGCTTCATAAAAAAAACTTGCAGTTTGAAGCCAAATAAGGCAAGAGATGCTTTTGAACATTCCCAGAATCAAACACAAATGGTCACAATCAAAACCAGCCATCCAACAATACAAACCCATGCAATAGGATTCCATACTGTATTTCAGATCTGTATGATTTGAGTAGGATTTCAGCACTGTGATTTCCCATTATATTCAAAGCTGTGATTCTTAACCAGGAAAGTAGTGTATGTTCAACTGTTCCCCATGTTGAAAACAAATGTATGTCTTTTCTATACCAAATAATGACAAATGCTAATTTAAAGGATATCTACTCCTGCACTCTGGCGTACAGTCCACTGGATGAAAAATCTAAATGGCAAATTTATGCTACCACACTTGGGTTTTCTATAGCTTGTAGCTATAGTTTCTCTTTAGAGAGATATCTGTACTCATGCATGTTCCTCTCATTCTTGCTGAGAAGGCACTTCCAACAGTATTGCTGCTGGCCAGTTAACATAGCAAAAACAAATCATCCATACAGACACTGCAGGGACACCAAAAGATATATTCCAAGAGGAAAGGTATCATTTTCATTCCTCCACCCCAGCCTCAGGTTGCATGCTACAGTACAAAAGTACTGTAAGTGGTAAGTGTGGAAGGTTAAGCTCTGATTAAACAGCTAGGGCCATTCAACACATTACACATTTGGAAAAGCACTTTTGCACATCAAAAACTGTCACGAACCCCTATAAAGACATGTCAATTTTAATGCATATTGCCTGAAACAGTGTTGCTAGTTAAGTAAAAAGCGTAACTTTTGGAAACAAGTTGTTATAGGCTAACAAATTCTCTGGAGACATCATCTGTTGCACAATGAGTCACACAACAGGATTTTGGCCATAATGTTAGGAAAATAAGACCAAACTTTACACAGTGTAAAATGCAAGAGTTAAAAAATTCAAAGAACATCTATTGAAAGGGTGGGGAAAATAAGAAACAATTACTAGGACTGCAGAAGGAAAGGAAAGAATCAACGTTCTCCAGACCATTGCAGTCCCAACAATTATGCCCCCCCTTGGTCCAAAGTTGGGAAAAGCTGCTTCCTTGGAGTACATATCCCAGATACCTTTAGCTACCATGCTTTGAAAAACCTCTTTAATTTTTTTTAAAGTGCTGCTTATAGATGTATATGTATTTTTATACACACACACACACACACACACACACATATATGTGTGTGTGTGTATATATATGTGTGTGTGT